ATCCATTATATAGAAAGGAATTGGCTTCAATTATAAGCTTGCGAATGTTTATACTCACATGAGGTGGTATATACGATTTCTCTGGGGATTATACATTACTAAAGTAGTTGATTTTATCAATATATAAATACATATATGTATATATATATATATATATATATATATATATATATATATATATATATATATATATATATATATATATATATATATATATATATATATATATATATATATATATATATATATATATATACTGTGTGTGAGAACATATATATATATATGTATATATATATATATATATGTGTGTGTATACATATATATACAAATATATATATATATATATATATGTATGTATATATATATATATATATATGTGTGTGTTATATATGTATATATACATGTACATGTACATGTAAATGTACATATATATATATATATATATATATGTACAAATATAGATATAGATATATATATGTATATATGTATATATATATATATATATATGTGTGTTATATATATATAAGTGTATATATATATATAGATATATATATAAGTATGTGTATGCATGTATATGTATCAGTATATATCTATATATTTGTGTGGGAGTGTTCTTTTTGTGTGTGTGTGTGTGTATTACATAAAACATTTCTATCCTTACTGAACTGGTGATTTACATGCGCCACTCATTGTCTCGTTATTCTCACCTTCATGTACTTCTCGGCGTATTTCTCTCCCTTATCGATTAATACCAGATGATGCAAGTTATCTAGAAGGTCCTCTGTGACTTTATCGTTGAGCACAGCCTTAGCTGAACCGGTTCCCATCTTGCCCATCACCTATGGATAAATATATATTGATGGGCGATCAGAAATAAGCCTAGTACGATAGGGTATGATAGCAAACTGGTGGGAAACATGGCCACCTTATGCCGCTGATAAAACCGAAGCCAACCTCACAGCTAGAATTAAAACCTAGAAGCTATAGCAATATGATACTATTAGACTTCAATTTCTACTCAGTATAAGAATTAAATCTTCATAACCATCGAAAATACTTTGTGTCATGTTGCAGTTGCATCATGCGTGTTTTAGTATGACGAAGGGGTATGATCTATGTATCGAACGCCATGGTAGTTTATAGGCACGTGCTGCAGATTGTCGGCGAGGATGTTTGTACAGTGGAAACCTAGTGTGACTGCTGCGTGTGGTTCCATATAGTTCACCACATTCATACATAGGATACGCGTGACGGTGCTGAAGTAATATTGAATACATACTCAAGGAAAACTAACTCGGCCGAATGATAGATAGATCTAAATTCAATTCATGTGTATTTTTCACAAGGACCTACTTGAACCACACGTATGCTTTTCGCACAATTCTCTTAAATAGGCTGACAGCATCCTGTTTGCGCGCGTTAACAAGTGCCAAAGGTAGATGCAAGCATGTTGGACAAACGACCCTCCAAGCGTCCGCATCATATACAACGGGTGCTTGCTTCTTACACCCGATACCGTATACAGCGAATACTTAATACTCACGAGCCTTGTAATACTCGCTTACATTTTTCTGGAATTTGAGAGCCACGCTCTGCTTCTTCTTTTTCTCTTCCCCGGCTAACATTTTCGACATAGGTAGAAGTAAGTAGAATCAATAATATGAGTGCTTTTGTATAGGTAAAAGAGTGCACGTAAAAACTGCCGTGTGCATGTGTGCTCATAAGCGTATATCTACATGTGTTCTTGGCACTAATTTGCAAGCTACATTTATCATGACAAAAAAGCACCACTCCAACTCCGAGCCGAGGCTGCCGGGCCACCGACCAAAACGAACCCAACCGCAAACATCCATATTCATCTGTTACATACTCATCTTAAAGTGGTAGCAACGACACTGTGATTGACCTGTGACAAGCAACAACGGAGAGTTAAGCCTAATCGTCGAGCCACCGCTTTGCACGAATTGTTTATATTTTACACATATTTTACAGTGCCGAACACTGTGCAGTGTTTGACGCGAGATATAATTTTTTGGTCGCTTTGGTCTATTTACGTAAGATTTTGACCCCTCCGCAGTGCCGAGAACCAGAGCTATCCCGAGGTATGGTTACGTTTTGATACGCTCTGATATCTTAATATACAGCCAATGATATGTATTTATATTTATAAATTTAACCAATAGTAACCCGTTTTAGCCTAAAATTTAGCTCTCGAACTGTGAGCTACTCCATCCCCGCTTGTCGTGCTGCCTGCTGGTAAATAAGGATTTTTTTTTTAAATTCACTGTGCAGAACTGCAAATTTACTGAAAAATTCACAGTGAAGAATACTGTTTTTATTTGGTTTAATACACTTGTATGTTTGTTGAGTCCCTTTTTTTAACATACCGGCATGAGTAAACGTAGGAATGTATGCAGATTGCAGTGTTACGTAACTTCTTTTCCGTTAAAGGTATATATCGTATATGTAACGTATGCCCAGCTGGTCTGGCAATCAGACAAACCATAGGCCTGAGAGATATACACGTCGACCAGCACAACAGCAGATGAAAGCGTTAAAAATCATTAACGCTGCCGCCTCGGAATCTATGCGTTTTGACTTATTTTATATAAATACGAGACCTGCTTTTATAATACGGACTTCGGACTATATATATTTTTAATTTGCAACAGTGTCTCTGGCTGGGGGCAAATATACACGAAGTACGCTATTTGATTATTTATAGCAGACCAATCATATGCGAGAACAAAAGCGCGGCAATTTCAAAACCGACAAGTTGACATTTTACATGACACGGTGACATCTCAGTATGATTTACGTGTGTTTGCCATAGCCTCCTAAATTCAACAAGCTATGGAATGACTTTATGCTAAATAATGAATATGCGTACATGACTATGTGTATGTAACGTATATACTTATATATACTGATATACATACGCGTGTACGTATATCTCGATATAAATACATATGTATATATGTAATATATATGCTTGTACATACTAATATATATACGCATCTCTATATACACACGTACTATACTTATATACACTGATATACATACGCGTGTACGTACATCGATCTATATATATACATGTAATACTGCATATCAAGACCATGCTATCAGAAGCAGTATCTCGACCATTTGCGGGTACATTCCACCTTGTAGAGTGAGCTCTAAACTCTGATTTGTTGTTCAATAGCTGCTCGCTGTGCAAAAAAATCACAACGTGATATGTAGTACACCGCATATCTACGGAATATCTGTACATAAGTCACAGAGAACCTCACAGACAACCCGATAAAAAGAATACATATTCGCAGTCATGCCGTCTGAGTCCTGGAAGGAAGGTCTCACCTCCGGTGTCCTCAATAAGATACGTGATCTTGAGACCAATGTGGAACGTCTAGGTATGGTTAGTCTATTAAAATTAAAGTAATAGAGCGTATATTGTTTTGTGTAGTAGTAGTATTGATCTAAAGACCATTTCTCAATGGGTCCAAGTTCTAGACATTTTACATTGGTTATTAGATTTTTCGTACTGAGAGCGTGCTATATACTAAAGGGGTTGTTGATTATGGCTGGTCCCTGCGTGTATGTTCACCGCTTGGTATATCTGCAGACGCTGATTCATACACATACACTTTGTATCTATCTACATGTGTGCATTCTCATTTTGTATTCTACCACACACGCACGTATATTATACACATATGCTGACCAAAAATATAAATCTTGTTTTCGAGTTCTATATACCTCACTTTCAGCGATAAGTGTATCTGGTTGATATCGACATGAATACATGTACTGAATCCGTCCCTTCTTGAGGGAGAGGATATGCATATGAGTGTATATTTTTATGCACATTTTTGTACAAAAACATAAAGTAGAGCATTTCTTTTCAATTGTCATGATATTCACCTATGATGGTATCCATAATAAGTACGTGTGGCGATCGTACCCATAGAAAGCATGTACACAAGACCACACCCTTCACTATATCTCTACTATATGTCACCCGTGTTGCTGTAGTGATACATGAACACATCAAACCGTATCTTTCTCAGGCAAAGAGGTGAAACAGAAACAGTTCAACTTCGAAAGCGTGGAGATGGAGAAGGCGAGTCTACAACTTAAAGTCAACGACTACTGCGCACAGCTGAAGAAGTCAGAAGGCGAGGCCAGGGCTTCCTCCTCCAAATTGGCTCAGCTAGAGCAGACCCACGATCAACTCAAACGGGCAAGTCCTTAACTTTAGTCGACACGTCGTGGACGTATAAGAGTAGCATATGTGTGTGCATCATGGTCCTAAATATATACACATGAATATGAAGTCAACGAAGATGCGCTATAGAGACCTGGATTTGGATTATCTCTTCACGCCTGAGATGGCTTGTGCAAATCCATTCTTACCTCTGACGAGACCATGATTGAAGAATCTATTTACATTCCACAAATGCACTATTGGATCACATGCGTGCTAGTTGATCTCACGAACTCTTACAATCTCGTCTCCTATATATAATGGGAGTTATCCTCTGCTGTAGCATCTCGTGTTCGTTTGGTTATCAGTTCGCGAGTGTATACTGCATGCTGTTTCGGCCACACTCTACATAGTGGGTCGGTGTGTGCGCTGCGACAGCTGGCATTGTGCACCTGTACGTGCACGTGACCCCATTTCGTACGCGATGCACGCACTTCACCTAAGCCCGGCATTGTTTGCACAGATGCGTTCCCATGGGCATGTCTCTAGACGTGAATGTAAATCTCTAACTATGGACCTTTATTTGTTTGTGTGTCTATACGCGTGCACGTTGATGCGTGAGTGTCTGGTTCCGTCCGTATGCGTTTGGCATAGGGTGGCGCAGTCAGAGAAGTGTGTGTAGCGGCAATGACCTTATACCCGGCCCGTTCTGTGTGTGAGGATACGTGTGTGTGTGCGTGTGTGCGTATATGTGTATAGTTCTGTATATTCTCGGTTTTACGTGTGTGTATGCGTGTGTGCGATATGTTTTTAGTTCTGCACATTATCGGTTTTATGTGCGTGTGTGCGTGTGTGCCTATATGTGTATAGTTTTACATATTGTCGGTTTTATATGTATGATTCTTGTGTGTATAAATCAGTGAAGTGTGTGTTTTTGCGTATATGTTACCTGTAGGTGAAGTTGCAGGTTGCTACACTCTAGCTCGGCAATTTCCATGATAGCTATCCTTGGATATCTCTCGAGTATTCGAGAACCCTATCATCGCCGCAGCATTCCCAGTGCCAGAGATTGGGGGCTATGGATGTCTGGTGTTCTCATAGGAATATAAACCGTAGATATGTATCGCATCGTTTAGCTGATTAGACGCCACACCGTCCTCATAATTAGGCTGACAAATACGTCAATGCGAGTTTCCTATCTTATTTGAGATACAGCGAGCTTCAATAGTCTGTTGTGGCTGTGTGTATTCTGGCCCTACCCTTCAAAAATTCTATTAGGCCTTATCTCAATGACTGTTTCGATGCCACAAACCAGAAACAAGAGAAGTCGGGCAAAGTTGCTACCCAGACCTATACATAAGTACCCTACTCACTGCACCAGAATAAGTTCATTGCGAGTCTACTCACTGCCCCAGAATAAGCTCATTGCGCGTACCACTATCTCAGTTGGTAACCCAATAGCTGAAGTCTAAGCTTATGTTCGCCCTGCATACTCAGGACTTGAGCGCAAAAGAAGCCCAGCGGTCTTGCCTCAACGACCGCTTCGACGCCACCAACGAGAAGAACAAGAAACTGGGCAAGGAGATCACAAAATTTGAACACAGTAAGTTTATATATACATATATATATATATATATATATATATATATATATATATATATATATATATATATATATATATATATATATATATATATATATATATATATATATATATATATATATATATATATATATATATATATATATATATAT